AGATGGCAATGCCTAACATGGTCCTCAAGGCTATCTGAGTACACAATGATGTCATCAAGGTAGACATCCATGAAGACCCCGATGTAGGCAGAGAACAGGTGATTCATCAATGCCTGGCATGTGGCCGGTGCATTACAATCACCTTGTTGCATGACTAGGCTAATCATATTTCCGTCAGGTGTAGTCACTGCCGAATGTCCAACATGTTCAGGTTTAATCCGAATCTGCTCATAGGCACTCTGCAAGTCCATCAATGAACGGTATCGATGTCCAGCAACTCGACGAAGAACCCCATCAATGGGTGGTAATGGTGCAGCGAGCTTCCGGGTATTCCGATTTCGTTCACGAAGATCAAACACGGTACGTAGCTCTGGTGCACCTTTCGGCCTATGAGGCTTATATATGCACAGCATTGGAACAGTATTACGGGCTGTGGTTACCTTCCAATGTTCTGTTGCAAGATAATCCTTCTTTTTCTGCACCCACTGCTGGCGCAATGCTTCAGGACATCTAGATGAACGCCAGGTATAGACCTGGTTTTCATTTATAATTGGAATCTCATGGTTGATTGCTCGAAACGGAGGTAACGGTGTCTTAGCAGCATCAACAAACAATGGTGCTGCATACTCAAACAATTGCTCTCGGACATGTCCTAGTTGCTCCTCTGCTATATCAACAGCCCGAGCGTCAATTTGAGCAACATTCTCACCACGGATAGGTAGGCTCGTCTCACTTCCAATTATGATATGTTCCTCATTCAAACCAAAGGATACCTTGTGCTGGAACAGAAATGGCGTTCCAAGGATCACATCATAATTTGATAGGTTTACGATATCAAAGTATCGACGTTCCTTGATATTCTGGTACTTGAAATCAGATTGTGTACCATAATTAACCTTTGAGCGTGAGCCCTGAACAGCAAGATGCAACTCAATAGGCTTCGCAAGCTCAGTTCGCTTCAACTTCAGCTGATCTGCTAGCGTTGTGGAGATAAAATCACCCAAAGACCCAGAGTCAAGAAGAGCACGGCTCTTGTGACCATTAATAAGGACCTCTATCACCATGGGCATGGGGACCAGGCGATTAAAATCTCTAGTTGAGCTTGCATTACGTTGTAAGCCAGTCAACGAAGTAGGTTCAATACCCACATGACCAGAGAATAAACCTTTAGTGCAAGGAGGCTTAATAGCATCCCAAGCTTGTGGCCAGTTGTCAAAGACATGAGAGAGACCACCCCAGTGGGCCTTCCATATAGACCAGGAGTTACTCCTTTGATCCTTCTTTTGAATCTGACGGAGGTACCAATTAAAAAGCCGGAACTTCGGATATGCTAATAGGCGCTTCGGTAGTCGAACCTTGTGCCCATGATGTGTATCATGAATCATTGCGAAGTCTGAGTCAACACTCCAAACATGGAACTGATCATCAACACCAGAGATACATCCAGTTCCAAGGTGATCATTCAGCATCTCCTCAATCAAGTCACAATAATTGTCTGTCACTCGTGATCTAGGAGAGGACCATGGTATGGATAATTTCCGGGCACAATATTCCTTGTACCAGTGGACAATATCTCCCATTTCTGCAACAATTGAGGGTACCAGAACCTCTCCTTCATCATGTGGCCATGAGTCAGAGGTATGAGATTCATCAATCAACACAAAGTGAGACAATGTGCGATAAACTGTAAAACGATCTGATGTCTTATCATCAGACCTTTCTACAGGATCCCCATGATATGGTCCACAGGCATCTAAGTGCTTCTCACACCAATCCTCAAGGAAACGGCCAATAGGACATTCAACAATTCCCTGGGCAAACTTCAAGGTCCAAGTTTGTGACTTTGATACGTCACTTGGGAGCCCAAAAGGATCTCCATGCTGCAAGATAGAAGGATCTCGTGTTTGTACAGGATCCAGTAGATTAAAACCCACTCTATCAATAGACAGTGAGGTTTGATCCTTAGTCCTTGAAGCAGCACTAGTAGCCTGATTCACCTCTCTAAAGTTAAATCGGATGCTAGAGGAGGCAAGGCCAGGAGGGCGGGAGCGACTCCCAGAAGCGACCATGCCATTTCGGGGACAATTGCGTTCTAAATGGCCCTTCTCATGACATTTAAAGCAGCGACCCTCAGCCATTAGCTCATTCTTTGTTGGCCCAGATGAGCTCTGTCCACTAGAGGATGGCTTCGGTGGCCTTGGCTGATTATTTGGCTGGCTGTTCTTGAATCGTGGTGGTCCACCACGATTACTTGGCTCAAATCGGCGTGGTTTCCTTGCTGGTTGACCACGAATAACACGAGCCTCATCTGTAGGAGTCATCCGTATGGGCTGAGGTGAATAATCCTGACGATTACGAGGAACATCATTATACTTGTTCTCTTCGGTAGTCCGATTGGTACGGCGAGAGTCTGCTCTATGGTTATGCAGAACAGTGGCACGCATAGCTGAATGCCTACGATTCAAGGTCGCCTCAGCTAGCTCAGCCTCACGAGCGATGACAGCCCAAGAGTGAACTTCCTGGGAGAAACTCTTCCAAGACAGGATATCAGTGATGTCAAGGTTAAGGCCCTTCCACAGTTTAACAACCTTGGCACGGTCTGATTCATCACCCAGGACGTTGTACAGGTTTTCCAGTTCATGGGTGAATACCTTCACTCGCCGTCCACCTTGACGGCAGTTCTCAATCTCCTTCCGAATCTTTTCACGGAAATCAATAGGAAAACAATAGTCAAACATCTCTCGGAAGAAGGTGCCTAATGTCCACTTCTCATAATTTCCACTGACAACTACATCGTAGAAGTCACGGGCTGTACCATCAAGGAAACGAGATATATTGTACACATCTCGGACTGGATCATCATCAAGAACTTCAAGGTATGATTCACAATCTTGCATGAATCTATTAACCTTCTTGACATCCTCTGATCCTGAATAGACCTTGGGATCAATGGGCCTGCGTAAATGAACATCTTTCGATTTGCCTTTATGCTTACGATGTGAATGAGATTTACGTTTGCGATGCTTCTTCTTCTTCTTTCCATTAGAAGTAGATGAGCTCTCATTGTCCGAAGAGGAACCACTATCAGACGAGGAGGATGATGAAGACCCAGATGGCGATGGCGATGGCACCGCCTGTCCCCTTCTTCTTTCACCATTGTTGCCTCGATGAAGAGTTCGTCCCAGGAAACTATTGGGAGGCACCTGGCTTGAAGCACGCCATGGTTCATTCATGGGGGTAGTCAATGATTGATGAGGCTGTTCAAAGTCAGCCGGTACACCCATTGGAGTGCTATGCACATTACCTGAGGTTGTGCTAGCTGATGGTGGTGTCACAGACTTAGATTTGCCCTTCTTATTACTTGTAGAGGCAATTCCCTGTGAACCAATTAAACTATGTTCAGGTGGAATGGGTCCAATCCACTCAGCATCTGCATACTTCTCTGGTATTGGGTCATCATAATCAATGATATCCTCAATCCTAACAGTACGACTGTGCTTAGGCTTTTCGTTATGTTTCTCTGGTTTGTAAGGGGTAGAGGTAGTGAAGCTCTCCTCATTATCCTTATTAGATTTAGACCAAAGTTCAGAAGCCACAATGCCTTCGTATATTGCCCTTTGAACAGCAGGGTCCTCATTCTGAATGGACTGCCAGTGTTCCAAAACTCGACGCTGATTATCAGGGTCAAGTTCTTCTTCATTGAGGCCGGGTATACCACGACCACGAAATTCAACAGTCTTCCCCTTGGC